AAAAAAATAAAAAAAAATTACCCAGGCATGGTGGCATGCACCTGTGGTCCCAGCTACTCAGGAGGCTAAGGCAGGAGGATGCTTGAGACCAGGAGTTCAAGGCTACAGTGAGCTGTGATTGTGCCACTGCACCTCAGCCTGGTGACAGAGCAAGACCCTGTATCAAAAAAAAAAAGAAAAAGAATAGTTGTCAGTTTAACATGAATTTGAATAGTTGTCAGTTTAACATGAATTTGCCAGCTTTCTAAGTATACTATCTGCCCTATTTTAAACTTATTGATAAATGTTTTGTTGTCTTCAAAAGTATTTAGATCTGCTTGCATCAGGCAATAGGCCAATGTTAGCCCTAGAACCGAGATTTAGCTTCCCCAAATCCTGATTTGGGGAAGGCATTACCTAGTTTAGGAATAATGCCACATTTAGATACGATGGGAACATAGTTATGAAGAGGTGTTAGAAAAGCTAGAGAACCATCAGTCCCCTTACATTGTATTCGTCACACCCACTTTCCCACCTCTCAAGGGAAACTACTTTTTTTTTCATTTTTTTTTTTTTCTTTCTCAAGACGGGGTTTCACCATGTTGGTCAGGCTGGTCTTGAACTCCCAACCTCAGGTGATCCGCCCGCCTTGGCCTCCAAAGTGCTTGGATTACAGGCATGAGTCACCACGCCTGGCCTTTTTTACTTTTTTTTTCATAATTTTTTTTTTGTTCTGGGAAACTACTTAATTACTGGGAACTAACTAAGCTAAACTATAGTATATCTCCTAATGGGAAACAAGTTTTTGTTAATGATTACATGAGAATCTGGTTTGTATTGATCAGTATCCCAAGCACATTTATAAGCTTTTTGTTTTACTTCTCATAACTCTAAGATGTAGATATTTTTCCCCAAGAGCTGAGGAAACCGAGATATCAAGGTATCTGTAGCCTGGCACAGTGGCTCACAACTGTAATCCTAGCACTTTGGGAGGCTAAGGCTGGAGGATTACTTGAGCTCAGGAGTTCGAGACCAGGCTGAGCAACACAGCAAGACCTCTCATCTCTACTAAAAATTAAAAGAATTAGCCAGGGATGGTGGCATGCACCTGAAGTCCTAGCAAGAGGTTGAGGTGGGAGGATTGCCTAAGCCCAGGAAGTTGAAATTGCAGTGAGCCATGATCACACCATTGCACTCCAGCTTGGGTGACAGAGCAAGAACCTGTCTCAGAAATTAAAAAAAAAAAAAAAATAGATACCATCAGTAGAATGCATTGGAGCAGAGTTTTTAAATCTAGAGACCATGGATCCCCACAAGGGTCCATAGATAGAATTCAAGGTGCCCATAACCCCAAGTATGGAAAAATTGCATTTTTCTTTTCTTTTCTTTTTTTTTCAAGACACAGTCTTGCTCTGTCACCAGGCTGGAGTGCAGTGGCACAATCTCAGCTCACTGAAACCTCCACCTCCCAGGTTCAAATGATTCTCCTGCCTTAGCCTTCCCAGTAGCTGGGACTATAGGTATGTACCACCATGCCCGGCTAATTTTTTTTTTTTTTTTTTTTTTTTTTGAGACAGAGTCTTGCTCTTTGCCAGGCTGGAGTGCAGTGGTGCAATCTCAGCTCACTGCAGCCTCCGCCTCTTGGGTTCAAGTGATTCTTCCGCCTTGGCCTCCCAAGTAGCTGGGACCAGAGGACTGTGCCACCTCGCCCGGCTAATTTTTGTATTTTTAGTAGAGACGGGGTTTCACCACGTTGGCCAGGATGGTCTCGATCTCTTGACCTCGTGATGCACCCACCTTGGCCTCCCAAAGTGCTGGGATTATAGGCATGAGCTACTACGCCCAGCCAATTTTTTGTATTTTTAGTAGAAGTGGGGTTTCACCATGTTGGCCAGGCTAGTCTGAAACTCCTGACCTCAAATGATCCACCCACCTTGGCCTCCCAAAGTGCTGGAATTACAGGCCTGAGGCATCGCGCCTAGCTGTGCATCTTTGATTTTCAACTGACCACTAAAAGCACTTCCACTGGTTTTTTGTTTTTTTTTTTTTTTTTGAGATGTAGTCTCACTCTGTCACCCATGCTGGAGTGCAGTGTCACGATCTTGGCTCACTGCAACCTCTGCCCCCACCGATTCAAGCAATTCTCCTGCCTCAGCCTCCCGAGTAGCTGGGATGACAGGTGCTTGCCACTGCGCCTGGCTATCCACTGATTATTAATATAGGCAGCCAACCATCATAGTATCTGCAGTATTGTGTGCTTTTGTCACCAACAGAATTCACTGATTATACTTTTAGGGATCATTTCCGTAGTTCACTACTGGAAAAGTTTCTCAGAATATATATATAGAGAAAAAAAGAATCTACAGGTATACTCATGTTCCTATTGCCAGATCTAAACAATATTTCTCACTTTAAAATTACAGTAATCGGCTGGGTACGGTGGCTCATGCCTGTAATCCCAGCACTTTGGGAGGCTGAGGCAGGTGGATCATGAGGTCAGGAGGTTGAGACCAGCATGGCCAACATTGTGAAACCCCGTCCTTACTAAAAATACAAAACATTAGCTGGGCATGGTGGTGCG